TCTGGCTAATTTAGCAAAAAAGGAAGTGAATGGCAGGATAGAGGCTAAAGCTATACTACAGAAAAGCTAAAATACCTACCCCAAGAAAGGCCCAAAGCCAGGGTAGTGTCAGGAACCTGGATTGAAAAAATGAAAAACAAAACAAAACAAGGGAAAGTTCCTGGCGTCTGTAGTCAGGATGGTTCACGTCAGCTTGAAATGGGTTGTCCTTGACTGCTGTACTCACCTTTCAGAGTTCCAGGGAAGAGTCTGGCAGGCACGCGGGTTAGGCCGACCCCTGGTCAAGGGCCTCTTGACTGATAGTCATAAAAGAAAGCATGAAGCAAGGGAAGACGGTTTCTCAGGGAAAATCAGCACCTGAGAGAAGGGGAGGTGGGGGCCGCTAGGTGTAAAAGAGCGGTTGTCTTGGATAAGGGACCTCTGTTCTTCCGACTGGAAAGTGGGGTCCTTGAGGTACTTTCCAGAACGTTGGAGATGGGGGACATCTAAAAGCTTGCTCAGCATCAGAGGCCCCACTCCTGGTGCCTAGAATTTGGCACCATTCTCCTAGTTTGTGCGGGTGTTGCCTGCTCAGAATTGTACAGGCCGAGAGCTGGCCTGGCCACTCCTGCAGTTCAGGATGGAGACCCGTTGTCTGTTTTAGGTAGGGATCACATTTCATGCTTAGGGTACCATTTTAGAAATCGTCTCACGGTCGAATCAAAGAGCTCTTTATACATTCTGGAAACGAGGCCTTCATCAGATTCATGTGTTGTGAAAGTGTCTACTGCTCTGTGGTTGCCTTTTTCATTCTCTTAACACTATCCTTTGTAGAGGAGAGGTTTTTAACTTTGATGAAGTCCAAATGATCAAATTTTTCTTTTATGGTTTGCGAATTTAGTAAACGGTCTACAAAATCTTTGCAATCTTAAGGTCATAAAAATTTTTGTGGATGTTTTCTAGAAGTAATCATATAACTAGCACATTTTAAAACTGTATGTATAATGCCTATTATACTTGACACTTTATAAGGTTATTTATGGGAATTTTTCTCTGACAGGTTATTATTGGGTTGGCCAAAAAGTCTGTTTAGTTTTTTCTGTGAAATAAAAGACACATTTTTCATTTTCAGTAACTTTCAAAGCAATAACTTTATTGATTTGAATATTTTGTGTAAGTTATTTTCTAGTATATAGAAATATAATTGACTTTTAAATATTAATTTCGCATCCTGCAAAGCTTGCTAAATTAACTTATAAATTCTAGTAGCTTTCTGGAATATTTCTCAGGCAGTTTTATATCTACAGTCATGTCTGTGAACAAAGATAATCTTTCTTTTTACGCCTCTTATTTCTTTTTCTTGCCTTATTGCACTAACTAGGACCTCCAATCACAATGTTGAATGGAAGTCATAAGAGACGGCATCATTGCCCTTCTGGGGGAAGGATGTTCGTTCTTTGATCATTAAGTATTATGTTAACTGCAGCTTCCCACTGATGTCCTTTTTCTGGTTGAGGACATTTTGTCTGGTTCTGGTTAACTAAGAGATTTACTCTAAGTAGGTCACATGTTAAATTTGGTCATGTGCTTTTTCTGTATATGCCGAAGTGATCATGTTTTATTTTCCTTTTTTTGTATTAATATAGTGAATTACAATGATTTTTTTTTTCTAATGTTAAACCAACCTTGCAGTCCTGAGATGTTTATCCCACCAATTGGCTCTGGTGTATTATTTTTATCTTATTGCCCTGGTAATGCTTTCTTAATGATTTTTTAAAAACTTCTCACTTGAGAATATGTTTTTTTTGGATTTTAAAGAGAATAAGAAGGGAAGGGAGTGGGGGGGGAGAGAGAGAGAGAGAGAGAGAAACATTATTGTAAGAGAGCAACAAGGATCGGTTGTCAGTTACCTCCCATAGATTTCCTGGCTGGGAATCAAACCAGTAACCTTTCGGTGTACAGGACAACACTCCAGCCTACTGAGCCACCCGGCCAGGACCTAAGGATTTTTACATCTGTATTTATGAAAGATATTATACTCTGTAATTTTTTTCCCTTATAATTTAATGCCTTTGTCTGGTTTTGGTATCAGGGCAAAGCTAGCATCATAAAATGAATTTGGGAAGTGTTCCCTCCTGCTTTCTGCAAGACTTTGCAAAAAGCACCCTGTGTCTTTTAGTTTGATTTGCATACACTGTGTACATAGTGCACATTTTACTGGATAACAGTGGAAAAAATAAGATAAATGTAGGCACACACCACCAAATCATGAGGGAGACTGTTTGAGCCAATCCTTAAACTCATTGTTGCCGCCAGAGATGGAAACCTGCCAGATCTCTCGTGCCAAATATAGAGAGTGAAGGCTTTTTTTTTTTTTAAGCTTTTATTTATTTATTGTTAGAGGAGAAGGGAGGGAGAAAGAAAAGGAGAGAAACATGGACTGGACCGGTTGCTTTGTGCCCCAACCAGGGACCAAACTGACAACTCAGGCATGTGCCCTGACCAGGAATTAAACTGGCAATGCTTCGCTTCTGGGGATGACACCCAACCAGGGTGAGAGAGCAGAGGCTTTTCGATAAGCACCTACTGTGTGACACATACTGCTGGGGAAATAGCTGATTGTCTCAGCAGACCCGCTTGCTTTGGAAATCCAAGCCAAACATTTCACACACTTATCAAGAAGGAAAGAGAAACAAAGGCCATAGTGGGACCCTCAGTAATCTCACTAGTGAGATTACTGTGAGATGAAGGCATGTGAAATGTTTAATGACCATTAAAAAAAATAGAGTTGCCTGGCTGGTGTAGCTCAGTGGATTGAGTGCGGGCCTGCGAACCACACGATCGCGGTTCGATTCCCAGCCAGGGCACATGCCTGGGTTGCAGCCCGATTCCCTGCAGGCCAGTTCCCAGCAGGGGACCCACGAAAGGCAACCATGCATTGATGTTTCTCTCCCTCTCTCCTTCCCTTCCCCTCTAAAGAAATAAATAAAATCTTTAAAAAAAATTTTAAAAAAATAGAATTGTTCAGCTCAGCTGTTTAAGAGAAATGACAGCCAGATAAAAAATTCAAAGGTGGAGAGATGAGGGTGGATCCTTACAAACAAGAAAGGCTTGAAGGAAGAGGGAGGGGGCTGGGCCACTACCCACTGGCAGGATTTGGATTTAGAAAGTCAGAGAGAGTTGTGGGGGAGGGCAGCTGGTCAGGCCAAGCTCATGGCAGGAAATCGGGAGCCTGTGTTGGTGTGGAGTAAAGTCAGGTTAGGTGCTCTTGGGCCTCCATTGCTCCTGGGAAAGTCACAGGTAAACACACCTGTAAAGTCATCACCTGTTCTTGTGTTTCTCTCTCCGAGCAGACTAAAAACTTTTCCAGTACAGGGACTGTATTTACTCATCTGTGATTCCCTAGCACTGGTGCAGTCCCTGGTGCGTGGTAGGTGCTCAGTTGCCATCGGATAAATGAGTGAATAGAGAGGCTCTTATTACTGTCTCAGTACTGAGGTTTCATAGAAAGGTACATAGGAAAGACCTATGGCACAAGTGCCTCGTGGAGTTCACCCTGCCTCTAGAGCCACATAGAGCATTCAGTGTACTAGCTTATGAAATAAATCTCAGCAGACCCATTGGAGAAAACCTGGTATTTCACTAAGCTCATGCTCTTTTTGCTTTACCAGTTGCACTCAATTCTGGGTGCATGTTAGGATCACCTGGGGCGTTTGAGAAGCGATGCCAGAGCGCCATCACAGACTGATTAAATCAGAGTCTCCAGGAACTGTGCCCGGGGTCTCTTTTTTCCTTTTCCTTTTCCTTTTCCTTTCCTTCTCTCTCTCTTTCTCCCTCTCTCCCTCCCTCCCCCCTCCCCCCTTTCCTTCCTTTCCGCTCCCCAGATGATTCTAAAATCAGCGGGATTGAGAACCACCATGTTTTTGTTTGAAATAACTAAATGGCCTTTTAAATGTGTCAGCTGTAAATGGTTACACTTGCAGTGTAAATGCTCATATCGCCATGTTGTAATTATATCGAGCATGGTTTCTGCTCTCTGTTGGATATCTTTTAAATAAAAGACTGCAAGCCTTTTACATTTTTCTAAGCAGAACTAGAAAAACCAAGAACAACATTTGACAACTGAGGAGAAACAAAATTGTGAAATTCTAGGGGTGGTGTTGCTTTAGTGTGGCAAACAGCTACTCATAAATTACCCCTGTTTGTGCGCTGGGTCTGAGGAAGAAGTTCAGAGTGACTGTTCTTTCTTTCATTCTTCATTAAAAAAAAGAATCACCTGTTTTTCAGTCTGCATTTTTTTTTAGCAATTGCCACCTTATAAATTCTATCAAATACATAATTTTATAAGAAATGTAAAACTTAATGGATAGTATTAAAAGCAACTTGTTTCTAACAGGAAACCTCAGTCCTGGGTCTAAAGTAAAATAAAGTGTGCACAGCAGCATGCACGTGCATTGTGAGAAAGACGTAGCCCTAATCAGGTACCCAGCAGGGCCCAGTACCCAAAACTGTTTACTAATCAATGCCTTTATACTAAATACTTTCTCCACACAAAACTCAAGTTCATGTGTGAGCTGGCCTGTCTACCCATGCAACGCCATCTGCTACCACTCTCTCCCCCCCCCCACCCCTGGTTCTTTAGGCACCAGAATACAGATTTGCTTGTAGCATCCAGAATGTGCCATATGTGCTCGCTTTTGGGGCCTTTGTATGGGCTGTTCTCCTGGCCTGGGGTGACAGCCCTTTCTTCAGTCTGCCTTGTATCTTCAGGTGCCCGGCTCTTTCTCTTAGACTCTGCCCTGGGCGCTCTCTGCTCCCTCCAGCCCTGTGCCCTCTAGTGCTCTGTGTGCTGCTGTGGTCGTTAGTGTGCAGGTCTGGACGCCCATCTGGACCGCACGCTCCTTGAGGGCCGTGGCTGTTTTTCCATTCGCGCCCAGCACCCAACGGCATCTGTCATGAAGAATGCACAACTGCAGGGACCTGTCAGCTGTAGGGCAAATTTGTGGCCTTTTTCCTTGTAGGTGCTCTTGATAAAACTACACAGTGGATAGAAGAATCTGTAAATGAAGAATTACTTTCTCTTTCTGAGACCGCTTTAACTCCTGGGGCTGAAAGCAGCTCTAAGCCAAGCCTGAGCCCTACACTGGTGCTAAATAACAGTTACTTGAAACTGTTGCAGTGGGATTATCAGAACAAAGTATTTCCAGAGGTGAGTGATTTTTCCCCCCTTCAAGTTTCCCATTATGTTCGTCCCTAAGTTTCAGCTGTGAATCACCTAGTCTGTCTGTGTTGCATGTGGTTTACTGACTTTACTAAAATCAGATAAAAATGGCAGTTCGGATGTAATAGGGCTTATTTTACATTTTCATGGTATTGAGCTACCCTCTCTGTTTTTCCGTTTTAAATAAATATGCTAGACACTGATTACAGAAGAAGCGCGTCTTCAGGAACTGACAGAAAAGCTGAATCAATTGAAAATTATTGCCTGCCTGTCCCTCATCACCAGCAACACGGTGGGCGCCGTCACCGAAGGCCTCCCTGAGCTTGCGGGCAGGTTAAAGAGGATTTCGGCTGTTTTACTTGAAGGCATGTGTGGAAAGTAAGTACCACGTGGTTTCATCTGTTCCCTCCTCTGTTACGGCTCTGCACGCATTGCAGAGAATGTGAAGAACCTTGGACATCTCGATGGCATTATTCAGAACCGTGCTTCAGAGGGGTTTATCTCACACCTCCTTTTTCCAGAACTTCTTTTACTATCTCCGAAGGGTTAGGTGCCCTTTCACAGGAAGGGAGAGGGCTTTTCCTGGACAAGTGCTGGGGCGAGTGTAGGGTTTCCACTGGGGATGGGTGTGCGCAAAAGCTCTTCTTTGACGATGCCGTGGAAAAAAACAAAACCCAGAAGCCCAGCAGGCTCAGTGTTTAGAATGCCTGTCAAAGAGGCTTTCCACGTGCAGTAGTTCTGACGCCGTCATTTTTCTGTATGAAATGTTCGCCGGCGTTACTGACCCAGCGTGCCGTGAAGTCTTCAGCAGCCGTGACCTCTCTCTGTCCTTTGAGATGTTCCACAGGTTCATTGAGGGTTTGGTATCTGTGAAATTCATTTCTCGGTTTCACCCCTTCGTTGAACACTAGAATCCCACGGAGATTCTGCATGTAGGTCATCCTGTCGGGAATCCTGTCCAAGTCAGAAAATTCCAAGTCTCAGTCAAAGACCGCACATTTCCGGGGGGCGTAAATGGGTGAAGCGCCTCCTGCAGGTCCGTCCCCCTTAGAGGTGTTCTCAGGGACACAGATCTGCTCCTCTCACTGGGGGGCGATGCGCCTGTTTTCTCAGACCCCTGCCCATTGCTCAAAGAGCACACAGATCGCTCGCTAAAATCCTAGGGTATTAAGAGCCAGAAGGAACCTGAGCAGTTACAACATCTGAAGTCCTCATTTTGTGCCAGAGCCCAAGGATCTGCCTTCGGCAGCACAGCCAGAAAGGGGCGAACTGAGGCCTGAGCCCTGGTCCCCGTGTCCAGGCCCTGCCCTTTCTGTGCCGATCCTTTTAAAAATCGTTCTGAGTGTTTTTAATGTTACGAAACTATTATGAAAGGTACTGGAGAGTGATCTCTGAACAGACCCAATCTTAAAGTTATCATTAAGGTTAAAATGCATGGTTGCTTTTACTTAGTTAGTTAGTTAGTTAGTTAGTTAGTTTTAATTCAATTACAGTTGACTTTCAGTATTATTCACGGTGCTTTCAGGTGTACAGCATAGTGGTTAGACAGTCACACACTTTACAGAGCCCTCCCTTGAGAAAGGAACAGTGTTTCCTGTCTGCTGATTCTTATGCTAACCAGCCAGGCTCATGTATTTCACACTCAGGACTCAAGATGTATGATGAAAAGAAACCTCCGTGTTTTTACGTGTTTGCAGTGTTAACTACCTTAGCGTTTCCCCACACTGGATAAGCATTGCTGTGCAGAAACTGTTCAGACCTTCAGTGAACCCCCCAGTGCTGCCTAAATATTGATCATATAAAACATATAACAACGTGGTTACTAAGAGAACAGGTTTCTGCATCTAAATCCAGACTTTTAAATCCCAGCTCTGCTGCTGCCTTATGCACGCACCCTTGAACAAGTTCCCAAACCACCCCTAGCCTCACTTCCTCACTTGCAAGAAAGGAATAGTATTCATGCCTGTCTTGGAGTTGTGAGAGCTCAGGGAGGTCCACGTGAGGCACTCCTGCACGCTGGCACATCGTCAGTGCCTGATAAACGGGAGCCTTTCATAACTCTAGTTGTTCAGTCGCCCTCTTTGTGGTGGTTCTGTCTCTGACTTTTTAAATTATTTTGTTTAATCCCCTGCCCCAGCCCCCGAAATCTCTGTTAGGAAACGATTATACTCAGTTCTCAATTATCCTCATAAAGGGTGGAGTAATAGCATTCATAACATTAAAAAAAAAAAAAGCAGCCCTCCTCTTCTTGGCGGGGGTTGAGCTGGCAGTCCCGGTCCCCGTAATGTGCAGAGGCAGAGGGAACGGGCTCCGGCCCCTCCGAGTCACGTCTTCAGTGCCGACGGTTTCCAGTCCCCGGGTTCTATCCTCAAGTGCCGGACACTGGTGGGAAAAAAAAAAGCAATAGATGACCCAGATGTCATTTATATTTGGTTTAATGACGGATTTTGAAAACTAGCAAGAGTTTTGCCTTCTTATGAATAGGAAGTCATGGCTTATGCTGAAATTAATTTTTTCCTTAGCTACAAACTCGTGCTTAAAAGCAGGAGAAGGCTAGAAGGAAGTTGGGTAAGAGTCGGAAGGTAAAAATTTTGCCATAAACTAACTTTAGCTTGTGGAACCTCAAAGGCAGATCCAGTGTGGATTTATAACAAATTCCAGTCAAGGCAGAACACTTAGGACTTATTTGTTATTGTTGTTAATGATGATAATAATGATAAAGTCTTTTTTCTCTTTCTTCTTCTTCTTAAGTGTTCACTACATGCCTGACAATCTGCCGAGAGCTAACATGGTCCTGTAGCAAGTTTAGTGCTAGCTCAGAACTTGAACCTGGGTCTGCATGACACCACAGCTTGAGCTGTAATTGCTACGTTACCTCTCCTGTCCCTGGGCCACTCACCGCTAATCCCCACGCTGAACAGAGCTGTCTCACAGGCCCTCTCTGGATAGTGAGGTGCAATGTTCCCCAACAGTGCAGACCAAGGCTGTCAAACTCACTTTCACCGTGGGCCACGCAGCCTCGCGGTTGCCTTCAAAGGGCCGAATGCAGTTTCAACTGCTTAACTGTTAAGGAGCAGTTACATTTGTACAGTTCTAAAATTATTCTGGCCTTTTGAAGGCGACTGCGAGGCTGACGTGGCCCACGGTGAAAATGAGTTTGACAGCCTCTGTGTAGACCCAACAAACACACCGATTAACTCTTTTTCCTTATCTATTAAGTAACCAACTGCTCATTACTTTTATAACTTTCTGAACTCTCTATCTGTGTATAGGCACTATTGATCAGTTGCTTCACAGTAGCAATGAGAAGGAACCTCTTATCTTTGGTCATGATAGATCAAGAGTTCTAGGTAATTTGCCTTTGTGGTATTGACCTCTGAATTATCTTCATTTCTTGTTTTGATTGGTGTTAAAGATTTACCGCTCAGGCATAGATAAAGGAATTGATTTTACAAGCTAAAAAAAAAAAAAAATCTATGAATGAATCCTCTCAGATCAAAGGGTTTACTTTAAGAACAGGTATTATCTTTCCCTAAGAGACCTGCATGAAAATGGAATTGCAGACTTACCGTATTTCACCATGTATAATGCACAGCCATGTTTCTGGCCCAAACTTTCAGGGGGAAAAAAACTTTAATTTTTAAAATGCAATTATTTATATTTAGATACTTGTTTTTATATTAAGAAGGAATTTTAGCATTATTTTTTAATACATTATGGCACAAGAAATTTTATGTAACAAATAATTATAAAACATAAGAACAGACACAAGGTATTTCAGATACTACCTGTGCATAATGTGCATCTCTGTTTTTCCCTCAACAATTGGGCAAAAAAAGTACACATTGTACACGGCAAAATACGGTATTTTCAGGGGCCACAATTTCCTGCCTGTGTGTTCCTATATAAACACTATGTACAGAGTCGAGTGGTTGTAATGATGTGAAAATCTGCTGCAAATAAGTGTTGGTGATCGGGAGAAGGTACTGTTTTTTAAGTTCATTCTAATAGAGGTAATTATTGTCTGTATAAGAAAAAATGGGTAGGTAAAAACGGGGAGAAATATGTTGGTATATCAAAAAAGAAAAAAAAACTCTCCCTGAGGGGGGGATTTTGTTTCCTGTTCTGTAGGACCTTTTGGTATATTAAATAAAATACAGAGGAATTAGAAAAATTGAAGTTTCCCTGATGGGGTTGCTTTTCTGTTGTACAGGACCTTTAACTTGAAGGAAGCCCTGCATTCCATCGGTGTTAAGAGTTGTGCTGAGATCAACAAGACCCTGGTGGAGAGAGGCTTGCCCACGTTAAGTGCTGAGGTTCAAGCTAACCTTACAGGTCAATTTTCAAGCATTGAAAAGGAGGACAGTCCCATCCGGTCTTTGATTGGTGGGTCCCTATATTTTTATTGTTTTCTTCTTTAATTTCAGTTTGGTTTAACTTGCTGTTTTTGACTAATGTTAAAATGTCAGTCAAAATTTAGTCTTCAACATTTTACCTGCTTCTTTTAGAGAATAAACATTGAAAATAGGAATAGAATATTAGTATTCTAAAAGGTCTGGGACCTGCTGCTGTTTCTGTGTGTATCTGTAGTGGAGTGAGAGATATTTCAAGGCCTTCTATGTTATTATTATCTAGCCAATAAATTTTTAGGAAGAAAATAACGAAATGCTACCAGTCACGTTCAAACCCTAGATCAGTGCAGCAGTGCAAACCAGCAGAAGGTAGAGGTCAGTTCTGCTGGGAGCCGGCCTCAGCCAGCAGGGCCCTTTTCTTGGTCAGACGCGAGGAGACGAGTGAAGGGCTGTGGGACTGGGGCGTACAGTGGGCAGCCTTTTGTTTTGCCCGCTCCCTGAGAAAGCGAGTGAGTATCTGGGTGTCAGGCAGAGTCGGTGAGTGGGGAAAACGGAGAATGGATCAGTTAGGACATTTTCTGTTGCCTGTGACTGAGAATCTAAACCAGTTCAAGCAAAAGGAGAACGTATTTTCACACACACCCGAAAAGACCAGGTAGGGCTGGTTGCAGGTGGAGCTTACCCAGAGCCCAAACTGCGTCCCTGGCCCTGGTGTCCCCAGTTCCGGCCCTCAGCACTGCCTTCCTCGGGCCGGCTGTGTCACAGACAGTGGCACAGCTTCCTCTCAAGCCTGTACCTTCCCATGCTTCAGACAAGGAGTCAGCTCTGCGGTTAGGTCATTGGCTCTGGTGGGCCTGACTGTAGGTAGTGTGCCGTTTTCGAAGTAGTCTTGGTGGCCAGAGAGGGAGGGGCTTCGGCTCCGAGACATGCGTTCAGTTCCTGGAGCCAGGGTGAGTGAGCTTTACCTTTAACTCCTGGAACGAGGGTGTGGGACAGATGGTTTCCCCCAAACAAAATCAGGCGCCGTGGGCAAAAGAAGAGGCAGTGGACAATGTGGGGCACAAAGGCAGTGTCTCCTGCAGAGAGTGGGCAATGAAGACTGGAAAGAAGAAAGAGGGTAGACTCAGAATATACTAACATTCTGGGACTGATCTGCAAATGTTTGAAGTACCGTATTGACTTGCCTAAGAGTGCAAATACTGGTTACTCTTTATTTTGAGGCTCTCAAATCGTTCCTCTCATCCTTATTCCTGGGGACACAGAATGCTGGAGATCTAGGCCACGTCAGCCACTCACAAACTCAAGGCCTCAAGCCCTCCCCCGGGAAAGAGCGGTCAGGCGTGCAGCCCTGCAGGCTGCTGAGAGGTGGCCGTTGATAACAGTAACACGCACTGCACAACCGCATCTGCAGTGGCTGAGCCCTCTGCTGCATAACCTTCCCTGGTGACAAGCCTGGCCTCGCAGCCCACAGCCTCCAGCTGAAGAGCTAACAGCTGGGAGAGCGTGTCCCTTGGAGCTAGAAGGGCAGGCTGTCTGCACTCTCTGCCACATACCTCTCGCTTCCCACTGGTGTGCAGGCCTCATGAGGATGGGGTGCATGTTTGTGCACTGCTGTATCCTTGTACCGCGCTGGGCCCACAGATAACCTTTAATAATAAAGATTTGTGGAAGGGGTAAAGGCAGCAGAGACTTAGAGTGTTTAAGTGACTTCCCCTCAAGGTCACATAACTAGCTGGTATGCAGAGTAGGGAGCCTTACTGAGCCTGCCTGACTCTGGAGCTCAGAGTCTTAACTGTTGTCATCGTAGCTGGAGCCCTAGTGCTTGTTGGCAGGGTGGGGAGCACCCAGGCATCCTCCGTGCCTTCCTCTAGATGAGGGAGGTATTTGGTGTAAGAAGAGGGCGATTGGGGGCCAGGGCTGCCCCCGCCCCAAGGAGGCCTCTTAGAATCTGGTAAAACAGCTTTTTTCCAACCCTCTCTCCCCAGTCCAACTCTCCTATTTTGAAATTTTGAGCTTTTTTTTTTTTAAACTTCCAACTGTTGTTGCCTAGCGACGGTACTGACTCACTGGAGCTGCTCTCTGACTCGGGAAGGGCACGCCTTTGGCAGGGACTCGGTTTGGCTGCTCCCAACTGGACAAGTGCTGCTGTCGTTTCAGTCTTGGCCTAAGAACTGACTCGTCCACAGAGGAGACAAAACCACTTTTCGACACAATAATAGTTCTGAAAGAGTTTTATCCTTTAACCATTCTTGCTGGAAGTTTTTTTGGGCTGTATCTGTGATAACAATAGACCCAGCACTGGACAGGCAGGCCCCCAGTCTGCCAGAGAGCTGGTGCACGGTGGATTCTTTCTTTCCTGCTCGCGGGGGGAGGGGGGTGGGGGACGGGGAGGGAATAAACCAAGCGCTCAGAGGACACAGAACGGACCTGACCAGCATCAGCCATGGCTTTCCTCCCCCGTGATGGTGCCTGGCCTTCTGTTCATACAGGGCGTGCTGTCTCTTTACAATGTGGCTACACCTCCCACTGTGTTCTCAGAATCTTAATGACATAATTAGAAAAGTTTCCTTTCAAACCACTTCTTTTCAAACACATACCCAAATTGGGTAAATATTATTTCTGGATTACCTCTTGTGTAGATTATTTGCATGTTTAGAACAATCTGCATTTTTAAAAAGTAATTTTCTACTGTGTGGGTGATAGATGCGTGAACAATTTCTCCTTGTTGACAAATGACGGACGAGGCCCGAGTTATCTGTGACTGCCTCTCCCAGCCTCCCTGGGCCCCACTGTTTTCAGTTTGGTCTTTATATACCTTTTCCATTCCATTCTCACTTCAGTTCAGTCCGCATCTGTGATGTGCCTGCCTCGTGCCAGCTCAGAAATATAAAGATAAAAGAATAGCCCCACCCTCAGAGAGCTCACCGGAGCAAGGAGAGAGATACATTTTTTAAGTAATATAATTTGCTGCGATAGTTGGGCAGATGTCAGGGAACACCACAGCAGGAGGTAGCTGTCGGCTTGGCATTGAAGGGTGCTTTTGACTTGTGGCAGAGAGGAGGTGAGATGGAAGAACATTCTAGTAAGAGGAAGCAAATGTGGCTAAGCCATGGACATGGGCTATCAGGAACTGTGAGTTCTAGGTCAGATCTGGCTGAAACATGTGACTTTTGTGAGAAGTGTTTGGTGATAAGTGTTTCATTAGTGTCAGTTGTCTGAATTTGATGGCATCTGTCCTCCTTAGTACGTGTACTTCTTTCTTGTGAGATTTGTGTCCAAGGCCGAAGAAAGTCCTTGGAACAGCATGAGCTGTAGCAGGTCTGGTCTGTCCGGCGCCGTTTTCCAGCCCCTCTGCAGCCTGGTTTCCGGGTGCCTTCGCCTGCTTCGGCGAAGCTGTCTCAGACGCAGGAGCGTGGAGGCCGTGACGCAGAGCGGGCAGAGAAGGGAACGGACTGGAGGTCTGGTCAGGGTGGCACTCGTCCCTTGCTTCCAGTCGCCGGCCGTGTGTGGGGTGAACGTGAAAGTGATCGTCCAGCCGAGGCCGCTTTTGAGAGTGCTCTTTTTAATAATGCCCACACAACAGGTGTCAACTTCACCTGTCCCGGGAAAACGGCATGTCTCGTCACCTGCACCGTGTGGTGATTTGGGCCCCCAAGTTTGTCAGATCTGTAGATTGTTCAAGAGGAACCAGAACTTGGATTTCTATATGAAGTCCCGTAATTTTAGGTGGTTTTATTTTTTAAAAAAAGCTGTACGGGCCAAACTAGCAGTGCCAGTTTACAAACTCAGCTTTAGTGTACATAACTAAAATTGTGGACATTAAATGCCGAGTTTTTGTAAAAAGATTCCCTGTTCCCTCCCCAAGAAGTGCTCTACGTTTTTTTATCAGATAGTTCTTTGCTGCATAAGTCACCCTCAGACTCTGTGGCTTAAAAAAACAGGAAACGTTTAGTATTTCCCACAAGTTTCTGGGGCAGCCGGGGGTAGTTCTTTTGGTATTGCAGGACTCCTACGTGCATTTGTGGTCAGCTCGGGGTGGGTAGGTAGCCCTGCTGCTCTTGACTGGGCCCCCTCAAGTGATTGGGAGTCGGCTGGCTCTACCGGTTGGTCCAGCATGGCCTCAGAGAAGACTGGGGTGTCCCTCCATGTGGTCTTTCATCAAGCCCAGACTTGTTCACATGCTGGGTGGGGAGGGCGGACGCGAACCAGGCTTCTTCAGGCCCCTGCATGGAACTAACATACCAGCACCTCTGCCACATTGTGTATTGGCCAAAGGGGGTCGTAGGGTCAGCCGCAGTCCAAACGGGGAAACAAACCCCAACCTTTGGTGAAGAGAGCGGCAAAGCTGCTTGGTAAAGGTCATGGGAACAGGGAGGGTTGAGAATTGGGAATATTTACTGCTCTTACTTTTCTTACTAATGGGACAGGTAAAGATACCATATTTCCCCCCCAGATAAACGAATCCAGCTATACCTGAAGAGCCTACTCTGTCTTCCAAGCCCGAAACAGTGCTTGCCTCCCATGCCCGGAGGCCTGGCTGCCGTTCAGCAGGAGCTGGAAGTGCTGGGCTGTCAGTACGCAAACATCGTGAATCTCAACAAACAGGTGTATGGGCCGTTTTATGCGACCATACTTCGGAAGCTGCTCTTCGGCGAGGAAGCCGTGGGGAAGACAGACGCTTCGTCTTCCACTAACTAACGAGGAACTGACACTGGAGAAGAGGCCGGAAATCCGGCGCTTCCGCGTGGCGTCTGTTTCCAGCGATGGCATTTCCGATGGGGCACATTCTCAGTCCTGTCCGCGGTGCGGTGTTACCCGGATCCGTATAACCCAGAAATATCAGTTGCAAAAGACACACAAACCACACAGGCCCATACATCATTCTCTTTCTCTTTTTTACTTGTCCGGAGGTAACTGGCAGCAATGGCGAAGTTGAGTCATGCTGCCAATTCGTAATTAATTATATGACCTTGTAGTACTTGTAAATGTTTTGTTAAACATTTATATTTGGCTTATACGTTCAACCCTTCAGGAGTTGTATTTCCTCATTTATCACCGTCAAATCTAATGATTTTTAATTTTGGTACAACTTAAAGGGTCGAAAAGTTGTGAGAATAACTAAGGAGACTGATGTTCTAAATACATGATGTGATGTAAGCATAACTATGTTTGAGATGTACAGTTAAAAAAAAGAAATGTGCAATGAAATTGTCTTGATGTGTAAAACAGACTTACATAGTAAGTCCTAAAATTCCACAAATGTACCAGCTCAAAATTTATAATACCAATCGTCAGTATTTGTGTAGAATTTAAACTTATTAAATATATTTTAAAGCTATATGCACATTTTAGATAAAACCTCCCTTATTCATGTAGTGAAAACAGAAACAAATCCCTTCTAAAACTTTATCCGGGAGGTTGGTTTGTCCTCGCAATTTATCCTGCTCTCTGAGAGAAACATTTTTTGCACAAATCTCTTAGTGAATGTCTTTGCATTTCTCAGGCCATTGGTAAGGTTTATATAAAATTTTAATATTTTTACATAAGGCAGGAATGGTCTGAATTGGTTTACTTGTAAGAAGAGGGGAAGTTTAAGAAGAAAACAAGGTGCCCAGGAGATCCCCATTCTCAGTAAAGTTCATAAAACAGTAGTTAAACTTTGGATTTTTTAACCACATAACTTGCTAGCAAATGCCTTCTGTGCCGGTTAGATGCTTGCGCCCTGCTCCAACCATGGCGCTCTTCGAAGCGTCGTCATCATTTCACGTTCTGGAGCACGACATCAGACTCTGCTCCGCTGACTCTGGTTGTCAGAGGATTTTAGAGGAGTCTGCTCGTCCTAGAATTGTTGCCTACTACTTCGGAAGTATTAAGGGAAGTGTCAGTTTGGGCAGACTCAGTCTAGAAAGTGCTTTCTCTGCATAAAACATTTCTGATGGTTTTGTTTTCTGAGGGCTCCTTGAACCTCAGTAGGTTGCTGGGGAAGAGTGGGCAGGAAAGTAAAAGTTCCCCATCCTCCCCCACGCCCCCCCTGTGATAGCGCTCCTCCTTCATGAAGCAGAGCTCTTAACTAATGATGGTGTGAATAAATTACCTCCAGTCTGCACGTTCTGGAGGCATCTGCCAAATTTCGAGGAAATTTTGAAAGGCGATTTTCCTTTTCTCACACGACCAAATACGTAAAGCAGCCATTCTGTCCCTTGAAGCTGGTGGGCGTGTGAATGGACACTTGCTGAAGAGCGCATCGCGGCCTCGCCCTCCCCCTTCCTGTGCTCCCATTCTGCCCGTGCTTCTCTGTGCTCAGAAACCACACGGTGCTGTAGACTTTTGTTTTCATTTTCTCTTAAGCTGAAGAAGCTTTCAACTTCGTTCACTTCGGGGCCTGAGCGGCAAGGAGGGTCTCAGAGCATTGTGTGAATTCTTGTGTTGCTTTCTGAGGTGAGCTGTGTACTTGACAGGAAGGCCAGGTGCACTTTTTAATGATCGATCAGATTGCAGTCCAGCTGGTATTCTTACATACTTGACTACACCGCAGTTGCCAGCGGGAAAACAACGCGCAAACATTTTTTTAAAATGCATTTTAAATGAAGGGCATTCTGCTTTTTTTAAGTGGCAAAGTAAATCTCAATGTCTTGAGTCTGGATTTAGGCAACTACATTATTAGGATTTTTTACATCATATCCCGTAGCACGTTGTCTAATCTGGTTTTTACCTAAATGTTTACTTCTACTTTTAAGGTTTTCTTAACATGGTCTTCTTTTGTAACGTCAATTTGATTGAGCACCATACACATATTTTCATTCTTCTACTGCTAAAACATGTTGTGTGTACTGTTAAATTTTAAGCATTAAATATTATTTCAACATAGCTAGTGTCTCTTTTTTAAAAATTGTGTTTATTTTTAGAAATGGGGGAGGAAGGGAGAAAGAGAAGGCGAGAAACATTGATAGCTGCCTCTCACACACCCCTAAGTGGGGACCTGGCCCCCAACCAGGCCTGCGCCCTGACCGGGAATTGAACCAGCGGCCTTTCTCTTTGCAGGATGACACCCAAGCAGCTGATCCACAGCAGACAGGGCCCTGCCAGCTCTTTGTCTTCTAAACCGCCTTTGGGTAACTCAGGGCTGGAGTCCTGCGGTCTTTGTTGTGGTTGTTCTAGAATGAGTCTTCTGGTCGTCAGAGCCTTGTATCAGGTCATGTTCGTTCACTCATTCATTCAGTCATTCAGGCAACAAATACCTACCAGCATCTTGTATGTGCAGAGAAGTATCCTAGGTACTGTGATAGATGGATGACGAGACACTGTCCTCAAGAAGTTTGTTACCAACTGAGAAGGACAAACTTCTAAATAACTACTATAGAGTGTAAGATGGGCAATAAAACAAACATATAATGCCAGAGGAAAAAATAAACTTTATTCCGGGGAGATCATTCTTCGGCTAGAACATGAAAGATAAGCAGGAACTTGCTGAGAGGCAACGAGAGGGAAAGGCGCAGCAGGCCAAGTGCACGGTGAATACAGCGAGTCCGGGACCAGCACACGGTAGAAGAGTGGAAGGGACGAGAGGGGAGACGAGGCAGGTAAGTGGGTTCTGGGGTGTCCTGCCAAACCGTGTGGGCTTCGTCCCGAGCTGAATCAGTGACTCCTTTGAAACAGGAGATTACAAACAAAGTATTGTTTCGGAAAGATTGCCCTGGCAAAGAACACTTGTGGGTGCTGAACACTCCTCTGTGTGGTGTGTGCGTGCATACACGCACTTACACATGAGTACACAGGACAAGCAGTAGAAACTGACCCTGCTAACTGATGCACAAAGGGAGTTTACTGCGTTGGTGTTAAGTGTCTCACGGAATCCACTCAACCTGAAGCATCGGGCTTGAAAAACAGGCACGAACCAGAGAAATGCAAACGATGGCAAGACTCACGCCAAACTGGGTCCAGTGTGTGGCTTCAGAGACTGATTTCTTAACTGTCCTTGCTGCTTTGCCTCATTTGCTCAAGATAGGCCTCCTGGCTATCGACATTCAGTTGGAAGAATCTAGGTCAACAGCCCCGACTAATTTGCAGGGGATGGAATGAGGGAGTAGCTTGCTGATCCTTAGACTCCCGTCGTCTCTGAACAGAATCACCCAACTAGGGGTTTCTCCCATGTGGGAGGCGGTGCTGAGGAGCAGAAATAAAACAAACCTACTGTAGTGTACATTCATGAGGTCTTTAACGTTTGGAAGTACGAAATGTGTGAGGAGACCACCTGATCTGGCGTTGTCTCTGAGAAGGACAGCAAAAGATGGTTCACGGAAGGGCATAGCCACCTGTGGTCAAGCTTCATTCCTGTGTGCAGGTGAACTGCCGGACCAAAGCTCCCAGGTCACGGAGGCCTTGGGACAGCCTTGTTTCTCAAATCATAGTTCAAAGCAGGGGGTAGGCTGCTTAGGGGTGGGGGGCTACTCCAGCCATTCGGGGACCCAACTTCCATCCATCTTGCAACTCAGCTATCCCCTACATCTTCCGAGTCTTGTCTGTTCACTCAGTTATAGGGGAAAGAAAAGCATCACCCACTTCCATTCATGGTCCAATCCCGTGGCTTTGTCTGACTGCCAGGCGGGCAGGAAAATGTGTCCAGGAGAAACAGGCTGACGTGGATACGGGTAAGCATTCAGCTTCCTTGGATTTGCCCTGTGAACCTTCTTTTCATAAAAATAAGTTTAAAATCCTGTGTCTGCTCTGATCTTTCAGCAGTGCCCCAGGGCACTGTGTTAGGAGGATTCTGAAGCCAGCTGCAGCTCAGCAGTGGGGATTGCAGTGGGGTCTGACCGGCAAGGTACGCCGCAGGCATGGGGGTGCCACCTCTTGTGCAACAGATTCTCATTTCACACTTGCCCCCCTTCCTGAAACTAACATTAAGCCTGTTCTCCCCCCGAGGATGTTAAGTGGCAAAAATTTCCACTCTTTTAGTAAAAGTAGCATGGGACCGAGAATCACAAGTTTGCAGTCACTTCTAGTTAATAGCTATACGCACTCAAACCAGTCTTTTATCCCCCTGAACCTCCCAAAGGGGGTTTCCTACCTACATCCAACCACCTACCTCACAGAGACATTGCGAAAATCACATGAGATAACGTACTTGAAACTCTCTGCAAATCCTAAAGCGCAATTCAGCCGCAATGCATTATAACTAATTTATGAGTCCTCAATCTCTTTCAAGCTTCAAGAGGTTTTAGTATTGTGAGATGTGATGATTAAATGCTTATGTACATAAGAACAAAAATTGTCGTCTCTCATCAGAACCATGGTTCATTAAGCCCACTATTGTCATTGGCAGAGACACTCAAGGGTATGCGGAAGGCTGCAGTGATCGTCCTTGATGTCAACTTCAAAGGACAGTGACAAAACCCAACACGTTCTGATTTCCTTTAGCAATCAATCGTGACTTTATTCTCCAGGACTTAATCTAACCTTTTAGAAAGTATGTTTCTATGACCAACTTGTGCCCTCTTGTTCTCTACTTTTGAAGTGAAGCTTTATCTTTCCACTTCTAAGCTTACTATGTTAGCCTCTCTCCGACTTCAAAGGAAGGGACCTAGGGATTTAGTGTAAGGTTTTTATGAAAAAGAATGGAAACCCGGGAGTCTGTCCCAACAGCTGCACTTGACGGAGAACCTGAATATAATGTTTTTCCTTCAGAATGTAAGAAAATAATAGCAGCCACCCAGCGCTTAAGCATATGGCAAGGACTACCCTAAGCACTTGATATCAATGATCTCACATAACCGTACAACAGGCTGTGAAGCAGGCTCTATTATTTCTTCAAGTGAGACTCAGAGGGGCTAAGGAAGTCACCCAAGGTCACAGAGATGGTAAGTGCATTTGAACCCAAGGAACTGAACCCTAGAATGTGTGCTCTTAACTATTCGCTACATTGGTTTCCTTGGGTCATCAGATATTTACTGCTTATTGTCACATCACTGACTTGATATTTACTTCTCTGTTTCTGCTTCCTGCTGCTGCCCTCTCTTCTGGTTCATCTTAATTAGAAACATCCCAGGAGAGAGAATGATTGGGCCTATTTGCCCCCACTCAGTATGGACACCCCTACCACCACCATCACCACCAAAACTATCCCTCCTTGGGGAGGGGGTCTCCTGACAAGCCACTTCAGCTCCCTTACGGCTGCCTTTGGCAGGCTCCTGGCCCTACTGCTTCTGGCAGGATGGTTACATCACCGGATGCAAGGCCAGACTTTTCGGAGAAAGGCCTGTGGGTGTGCTGGGCAGCTAAAGGTCTGCGGACCACTGTCTTCCTCAAAATGCAGAATCCCCTCTGATTACAGCAGAGACTTCTGGTCACATCCCTCCGCTCCTTGCTGTCTGTGAAGTGACAGACTTCAAGGACTTCCCCTTTGCCCTTGCCTTTCCTCACTGAAGAGCCCTTCTTTCTGAACCAACAGTGTTCTGGTCTGCTCTAGTTCTTTTATGAATTTATTCACGTATAGGAATGAAGAGCACACATATTTTCCCCCAGGCTGAATGCCTGAAGGTTTTCAAGAGAGGATAATCTTTTTCTTTTGTTTCTTCATGTTGAAGCCTCTCATAAGGTCTAACTTGAACATGGCATAAAAGCTACTCATGGTTCAGCCCCTGTGGATTTTTCTAGTATCATCTACACATGCGTCCCTTGACCCTCGGGAGAGGCGGTCCTACGGGAAGACCAGGCTCACTTATCAGAATGTGGCATTATGTCATCGAAAGCCCTTGGGCCATTGCTCAGGCTATTTTCCTCTGCTGGAAATGTCTCCCAGCAGCCTGTGGAAGATGTGCTACTGTGACAGAGTGGTTAAGAGCATGGGCTCTGGTGTCAGATGGTTATGAATTTAAATGCCAACTTTGGCAAATTCTTAACCCCCACGAACCTTAGTCTCCTCATTTGTCAAGAGGGGATAATCCTACCTACCCCCCCAGGGGTTCATTAAATCAGAGTCTGCACATAAAGTGGGATTCTAATGTCTGGCGAAGAGTAAACACTCAGGAAACGGATGCTCTAATATTTCAGGGCCCCCGGATTGGACAGTTCTGTTTTCACCTTTCCTTTACTCTCCTTTAGCCAACGCCCTGTTCTTTCCCCCAGGGTACTGGCCACTTTCTCACCTGTCGCCCCAAACATTTTATACCTAAGTGATGGGATAACAGTCTAAGAGATCAACCATTCTTCCCTCTGCAATTAATTCCCTTTCCCGAACTGCCCAGCCTTCTATTCAAACTGCCACCGTTTTTTGTAGCAAGACCTCAGGAACAGGGTGTGACAGCAAAAGGCTGATCAGGCGACTGTTCCTAGTTTGTTGGTTTCTCCCCCTAGGAGGTCAGAAAGAAGTCTCGGATTTCACCTGGGGGTGCAAGTGCCGGTACTTTGGGGGCCAGGCCAATGCAGTAAGGGCTTGTGGCAGTCATGGACTGAGGGCTAGCACTGCTTAGGCCAGCCCGCTGTTGCCGCGCAGGACTCTGGGGCCATGGCCGCGACATCCTCCTCTTTTCAAGAGAAACTAAAAAAATTTAAAGTCAGGATTAAAAAATGTGAAATATAATACTGAATTTATTATCACTCATTGCATGTTTTTTTTTTCTTTCAAACTGTTGTTTTTCCCCACATGAATTTACTCAGGAACAAACAGTGGGTTAGAACACAGGAAAACAAAGACAGACAAGACAGTCTCAGGAGCTCGACATGAATAAAGGGTATGGTATTGATAACTTATACCATACTTAAGCCCGGGAACTTATTAGAAATGCAAATCTGCAGACCAGAGACCAAAACCACCAAACCAGAAAGCGGCGGTGGTTTTAACAGGCTCTCCAGGCAATGCGGCCGAGTGCTGGCGAACCACTTTGACCGCAGGAAGCCAAGAGGACTTTGGGACAGAAAGCCAACATGTCTGAGCCAGCTGCAACATCTCTGCTATCAAAAAGTCACTTCAGGGTCCCTTCCAGACTAGATTTTAAATAGGTTGCTCTCTAATAATTCACAAGGAAGCTACAGAAGCACATCTGTCTCTAAGTGAACTGGGAGATGCTCAAGAGCAGGAGCTGATTCTTCTTTTGTCTCTGTCCTCTTTCAGGCATCAGCACAATACTTAGAAGATACAGGCATTAACATTTACTCGAGGTAGCTAATTCAGAAATTAGCTAACTAACCTGGTGCAAGGTCTACACATTCATGAGAGCATGGCAAATGTATATTTCACAAATTTTTGTATTTTATTATAGTAAAACATACATAATATTTACCATTTTAATCATTTTAAGAGTCCAGGTCAGAGGCTATAAATATATTCTCACTGTTGTGCAAACATCACCATCATCCACGTCTAGACCTTCTGCATCTTCCTCAACTGAAACTCCTTACCCTTAAAGCAACTGTTGGGATTGTTTGCCAACTGTTCTCTTTCCCTGTGGGACTTTTTCTTCCTTATTGATTTGTATGAAGTCATTTGAAATTAGGGATACCAAGTTTTTGGTTTTTGTCAACTTGTGTTTTTAAGAAACTCTGTTTATGGTGACTTTAAAGAAATCTGTTCAGCTCTGGTTAGTGTAGCTCAGTGGATTGAGCGTGGACCGGGAACCAATCAGGGCACATGCCTGGGTTGCAGGCCAGGTGCCCAGTGGGGGCAGGGGTGCGAGAGGCAACCGCACATTGATATTTCTCTCCCTTCCTTTCTCCCTCCCTTCCCCTCTCTCTAAAAATAAATAAAGTCTTTAAAAAAATCTGTTCAGAAAATCTAAAATTTTCATGGAATCATAAAACAACAATTAGAATTATATTGCCAAACGTATGGATATTTCCCTTTACAATTTCTGTGTTGCTGTCCTCAAAGGCCCTCATCACCAAAGTGATGAATGCATTCACTTGCATTTTCTCCTAAACTTTGGTTACCATTTAAGTACTTTATTCTTATCGGATTATTTCGTGTAAATGGCTGATCAGCTGTTCCAACGTCATTTATTGAATGAGCCTTTTCATACTAAATTTCCCTACATGCCGATATTTATTCCTGCACCTGACTTCCAGTCCTCTCAGACTTGAACGGTGTCTTAATTACTGTCCTGTTATGCTCTGGTTCTCAAGTGAGTTACTGCCTCCTCCCTTTATGGTCATTTTAATAGTTGTATAATCATCTATCACATGCACACAAGCATAGTTTTTTTAACTAGTCACCTCCCCTACTTCTAGGCATTTGGTAAATTTCCTATTTTTCCATACTATACGACGTGTCGTTTTGGACTGAATTACATGAGTTTTCTGTCTTGGTGACTCAAATTGCGCAAATTATCCGTTTAGCTCTTTTTCTGAGTTATTTTAAAAGTTACAACCAATATGCTCTATTGGTCTCCGTTACCGGATAACTGGCAATGAACCTGTCGTCTGGGCTTTAGAATAACTCGGGCAAGACCTCCGAGCGACCCCAGGGGGCGCAGTTTCTCAACTTCGCCTCCGCCACATCCGGGTTCCACCGCAGATTCAGGCTGGGAGCAGGCGGAACCTTTCTGTTGCGGCTTCAATCATCCTGTGCGGCGGGGACCGTTTGGGCCACGCGCACCGCTCTTTACGGGTGCTGCAGTTTGCTTGAGGTGGCGCAGGCTGGCGTGTGGGGCTTATTACTTCCTTCGTCGTGAGCAGCATGGACGTGCTTGCGGAGGAATTCGGGACCCTGACCCCAGAGCAGCTAGCTGCGCCGATACCGACTGTAGAGGTAAAGGAAAGGTACACGGGGAACGGAAGGGGCTGGGACGCGTCCCCAGGAGGCGGTACCCTAAGAGCTCCCGTGGCGGAGCTGGGTGGGCCTTGGATTCTGCGCATGCTCAGAACTTCTCTTGGGTCTCTCGGCACGAGGTTGGGGACCCAAGCTGGCCCAACGTGAGCGGGTGGGAGGCGGCTTCTCTGTGGCACTCCGCGCGGGCAGAGCTTTCGGGTTGGACCCTTTACAGCATTCGTGAGCGTGGGCAAGATTGGTCCTCGCGCCCACCTTTGCGGGACACATTCCATCTTCTTAGGCTTGTAGAGGACACTGAGGCCCAGGGGGCTTAGGCCCCTTTCGTGAGGTTCCACAGCTGGTTGTGGTAATAAGACAAATCGTTTCAATGTCAGGCTAGTAATCTTCCCTTTTAACCCGGAATTCAAGTTTGGACTGCAAGAGTATCTGAAACCTCTGAAAATTTGCTCAGAATTTTCCCTAGGTGTTTCCTGCGAAGTAGCACCTTAGCTTTCGACAGATCAGAAGTTAAGGGTACCTGCCCTACAGTGAGCAGCTTCCTGATGAAGTTCAGCTGTTGACGTAATTTTATTCTCTAGAAAGGCACGTGTTATTATAACCTCTCTGGGCCTCCGATTCTTCATTGGCATGGAATGGGGATCTGGAGCAATGAGGCTTGGAAAGACGGGAGCGATTTCAGGTAGAGAGAACCGGATGCTTTGAAACCCGGTAGTTTCTGAGTACCCAAAATAAGTGCTAGAGTGAAGAAGCGAGGAGAGATGAAAGATGAAGGATAGGTACAGGTTCTGGTTTTGAAAGGTTTTGTTAGGCATCTGAGTGAGCAATGAGATGCAATAGAAAGGTTTAAGCAAAGTAATATGATCAGTGAACTTTTGGGTCATAGGGAATTCTTCATAATTATTTGGCCTGTGAATGAGATCGATTTACTGTTACCAGCCCTTCCGATCCAGTCTGAGTGCCTGCAGTGAATAACACTGCTGATGATTGTCAGGCAATACTGGATTTTAACTCTTGAAGAATTAATATTAAGAGCCAGCATTTACTGAGTACTTAGGATGTCCTAGGCTCTGTGTAAACCTAACATGCATTATGTTATTTAATTCTCTGACATAAGTGCTATTTCCATCACATTTTGCTAATGAAGATTTCTGGGGCCCAGAGAGGTTAAGTAACTAACCCAGCATCAGAGGCCGGTGAGTGGCCGATCTGGAACTTGGCGTCTGGCAGTCGAACTGGAGAGTCTTCATCCTGAACTGTTGGCTGGACTGCTTCTCCAGAGAGCTGAAGGAAGATGCCTAAAGGATTGACATTTCTTGCCTGAATTTCCACAGCTGTGCAGGCACTAAAACCATAATTCCAGGCTCCTGACTCAGGAATGACAGTTCTTCCTGGCCCTGTGCATCAGCCCACCACCCATCCAATCTTAAGGGTCCTGCCTGCAAAATACGCTCCAACCTGAAACTCACTCCACAGTCCCCCAAGTCAGAATCGCTGTCATCTCTTACATCCTGGGCACTGAACTTCTCTCACTCCAATCTGTCTGCTCTGTGGCGGGAGCCATCAGCTTAAACACACAGATACCATCATGCTGCTCTGTTGGTTAAATTTCTTCAATCTCTGCCCATTGCTTTTAGGGTAAAATCTAGTGTTTATTTATAAGGCCTTCCTCAGTCTGGCCACTGATAGCCATCCCAGCATCTCTCCCCCCACTGCCCTCCTCCCTCACTACCTGCCTCCCCTGAGATATTTCTGCTCTTCTCATACAGTTCATTTTGATCTTTCATTCCTCTTTGTAGATTTATACGCAATAAAATGCAAGAGTACCAAGACTTCCACTGCATTTATTTTGACATTTACATATTCCCAAATAATTAGCACCCAATACAAGATATAGAATGTTTCCATCACCCCAGAAAGTTCCTTTTTCAGTCTGTCTCCACCTCTTATCTTTTGATTCCTTTTCCTTCCTTTTTTAAAGACTTAATTTTATTTAGAAGCTTTTTAGGTTCACAATGAAATTGGGAGGAAAGTACATAGATTACTTATATACTCCTTGCCCTCACTTCCCTTTTTCTTTTTTTTAATCCTCACCTGAGGATGTGTTTATTGATTTTAAAAGGAGAGAGAGACATTGATTGGTTGCCCCCCATACGTGCCCCAACTGGCGATCGAACCCACAATGTAGGTATGTGCCCTGCCTGGGAATTGAACCCACAGCCTTTTGGTGTATGGAACGATGCTTCAACCAATTGAGGGACCTGGCCAGGGCACCTCCCTTTTTTTCTTGAAAAATGTTTTTACTTTATCCAAAGTATCTGCCTCCTTCCTTGGCCTCCTTCTTTCTTCTTAGTGCCCTTTGCTAGATCTGTCTTTTGTTCCTCATCTCTAAGTATTGGAATATTCTTGGTGTTCTTATGGAACCCTTCTCCATCTGCATTCCTCAGGCCGTCTCATCCATTACATGACTGTAATTCCCATCCGTTTGCTGACTTCTTCCTAATGTAAATCTCCAGGCCACTCTCTCCCCGGGTTCCAGACTCTTTGTTGTCTCTTAGACGTCTCCACCTGAATGTCTAGTAGGTGTCTCAAACTTGGCATGCCCATGACCAAACTCCTGGTAACCCCGTCACACTTTAAAGCAGCTGCTCTGACAGCATCCCCGCTTCCTTATCTCCACGCATGGCAACTCCGAGCTATCAATCTTGACTCCTTTTTCTCTCTGAGAGTCTATCTAATCTATAAAGTCTTTGTGGCTTGAACTTCACATTGTCTCCTAGCTAGCAGTTTTTCACTACCTGTACTATTTTCAGCCTGGAGTACTGCAGTAAACTCATAAATGACCTCCCTGCTTCTAACCTACTTTATTCTCAACCCAGCAGTTCAACCTATTATTTTAAATGATCCAGTTAAAATGAGCCACGGGTTCATGTCACCCTTCTGTTCACAACCTTCCAGTGCTACTCATGTCAGAGTGGAAGTCAAAGGTTTTACAGTTGCTGCAATGCCTTACATGATTCTTAGGCCCTTATTCAGAAACAGTGTATTCTTTAGACTCAGTTCTGCCCATTTGTCAGATTTCCTGTTAGCAGATGAGATGCCATTCATGAAGAGTCTTACCATGGTAGGCTACTCTCAACCTCTGCAAAATATAAATAGGAAGCCTAAGAAGAGAAGAAGTGTGGCAGTTTATAGCTCTTTAATGTGGAAGGTGAACACTGTGGGCTGCGCCTTCCTGCCGTCCTGAGATGAGCTCTGATCACACACTCGCTGGCAGAAAACGGGAGAGAGGAAGAACCGGAGAGTCCTGGCTTCCCCACCAGACTCCGAAACTCACTTTCCCTTTCTCATCAGAAAACCCACTTACTCCTGTGGTGTCATGACGATAAAATACAGTGCTTGGAATCTCGACTCATCCAGAAGAGATTAAATTATGTTCTATTTAAGAAATCTGTGGTCTGTGTGTGTATGTACATACAAGTGTATTTGTATGAACAGACACATATGCACACACCTGTGTGATTTCCATAAAAGTGTTGCCATGTAAAAATCGTTCTTTTAGTTTTGAAGGGAGAGAGGGAGAGAAATATCAATGTATGGTTGCCTCTCATGCACCCTGCTAGGAACTGGCATGCAACCCAGGCATGTGCCCTGACTGGGAATTGAAACGCGATCCTTTGGTTCGCAGGCCCATGCTCTTCCACTGAGCTATGCCAGCCAGGGCATGATTTACTTTCTTTCACTCATTGTGATAAAGTGAGTCATTTTTGGCACACTAGAATAACTTCTTATAAAAATACCATGGTTGCTAGCACACATTCTAACACTGTTTTTTATTCACAGGAAAAATGGAGGCTGCTTCCAGCATTCTTAAAGGTAATAAACATTTAGTAATAATTAATTATTTTTCTGATAAAAGTCAAATCAGCCTTCTTTTTAGATTGAATTTTTATCACCAACATGTTTTGGCTATGTACAACTGTGTACATTGCTAGGTTTGGGAAATACAAGGAATTACAAAGCAGTGAATCCCTGCCTTTAAGATGCACAATAGGGGAATGGTAATCTAATTCTAGAGACAGGAAGTAGTGTACATTGTAGCACAGCAGATGAGTAACACAAACCAAAGGGCTGCTGGCAAAAGAGGGATGCCGCAAGTGGTCAGAGAGGGTCTCCCAAATAAGATGAGACATAAACTGTATCTTAAGAAGAAAGGATTTAACTCAGCTGGAAGGCAGGGTACAGAGAGCATGACTTTATCAAAGTGCCAAGAGAAACCTGCACAGGGTGTATAGCAAACAGTGGTCCATCTCTTTTGTTGGAACGGATGAGTTAATGCTCAGAGGAACTGCTGGATATAGGTTGGTGAAGGGCTTCAGTTCATTTTTAAAGAGCTTATGCTAGGAAGCAGGGCTTCCACAGTGAGGCAGCAATTGGCACCCACTAGTATATGGTAGTCAAAGAGAAAGATACTGAGTGTTGAGGTGGGTGTGGAGAAATTGGAACCCTCAGGCTCTGCTGGTGGGAATGTGAATTTTGCAGCCACTTTGGACAGTAGCCTGGCAGTTACTCAAATGCTTAAACATAGGGCTGCCATATGACCCAGCAGTTCTGCTTGTAGGTATTTATGCCAGAGACATGAAAACATATACCCATGCAAAGAGTTGTGCACAAGTGTTCACAGTGGCATTATTTATAATAGCCTCCAAGTGGAAAACACCTGAATGCGTGTCATCGAGGGATGGACAAGTAGAGTATAGCATAGTCATGCAATGGAATATTAGTTGGCAATAAGAGCGAATCAAGTGCTGGTGCATACTACAAGACGGGTAAGTCTTGAAGGCATTGTGTTAAATGAAAGCATGGAGACCTGAAAAATGAGTAGAGTTCTGTCTGACTTAGTTCTCTGTTATAAACAGAGGGGAGAGTACTGGGAAACGATGCTGGGGACGTCGTCAGCGCTGCAGAGTTCTGATCAGATTTGAAAGCCATTTAAAAAGTTCTGGCTGTTTTTCTAACAGCAAAGGGAAGCTGCTGAAGAATCTTTAAGTAGAGGTGTGACCAGAATGAAATAAAGTAGTATTAAGGTCAAAAAAATTTTTATTATAATTTTTAAAAAATGAACTATACATAAGCAGAAGAGAAGGGATAGTATTTATGATTCAGAAACGAGGAGACAGTTGATGGCACCAAGTTCATTACTGCCACATTAACGGAGGCATAAGACAATGGTTAGTTCAGTCAGTCAGTATTTTGTTTATGTGTTTAAAGTTGGAATTCCCCTTCCCTCAGATCACCTTGAAATACATTTGTCTAAGAACAAAAGTATAAAGATTTTAATACATATCTGAAGGCTGCCCATGCTGTTCAGTGTAGGCTCACTGCAGCACGACTCAGAATGTTAGGCTGGGAAGACAGCAGTGAAGAGGGACAAATGTGAATCCCTGAGTGTACTTGGTTTTGCACAAGCACCAGATGGGGTGTCCTTGACTTAATAGCATTTTTTTTGTGTGAAGGTTAACATTACCTTTTGAGTTTTGGCCAGTAATGTGGCCTTGTTTCTTTAATAGCAGTGGTGTAACAACTGGAGTGAGGGAGGTACTAGCCTCTGTATACTGGCCAGACTGTCAAGGACGTCAGTGAGTTCAGGTGCCTGTGTTCAGGGGCAACACTGGCAAATTGGACCACGTTCAGGAGCAGGCTGAAGGCTGCTGAATGGTCTGGAAGGCACGCATGTGAGGAATAGTTGAAAGGCCTTTTTAGCTTAGAAGTGAGAACGTGAAAGAGAGATGTGATAACTAAATGGGTTGGCCTAGAGCAGGCATTTCTCCGGAAGAGGCTTAATCAAGTCCAAGGGGTGGACACTTCAGAAAGGTGGACCTCAGATCACTATAAGGTTGGATTTTTTTCTGCAACAGTCAGGACTGCCTCAGAATATGGAACGGTGGGTGGTTTTGTACGCCAATGAGATTCCTGAATGAGGCAGTGTAATAAGTGCTGTGATTATCCATCAGGGAAGTTCAAGAAGTGTTGAAATAATTATGTGTTTGAAGATTAATGTAAAGAAAGCACATACAGTCCTTTTAAATATTAAGAGTTTGGGTTCTCTGTGTTAGTTATTTTGCTGTTTACATGGCCGTACACAGCACTATCTTTGTACAGTCGTTTCTGACTTCTGAGATGAAAGGGAAGTCACTGCCAGCTGGCATCTGCTCTTAGGTTCCCCCAGTTCTGCCCTGCTTTCAATTTCCAGTACAACTATTTTCTTAATGGAGACCCTTATTTTCCCCTCATTCTTCTGTAGAGTGATGGGGAAGGCCAGTTTGGATGTGGGAAAATCATGAAATTGCCCAGGTAGCAGAAAGACAAAAAAGTAAATGGGCATTGTTTGAGAGTTGAAGAAATGATGCTCAACTGCTATATTTTTTGAAAATTCTAAGTATGCAGAGATAATCCTACCTTATATATTAGCTTATGGAGAATCATTAGGTATATTCAGATATCCATGTCTTGTATTCCCAAAGCTTCTCAAGGAGGAAAATTTGAATATGTTCTAGTAAGATGGGGGAGAAATGTAATGAAGAGACATAAATATAAAGTTTTACTAAACAAAATTCATGGGCCTTTCTCTCACTTTGGTTTTGAGAAAAATTTGATGATCACCTATGATTAGAGTCTATTGTATAATTTGCTCACCCACTTGTGTTGCTAATCTACTTTCCCATTTTCTACATAGGTTAAAGGCCTTGTGAAGCAGCATATAGATTCATTCAACTACTTTATTAATGTAGAGGTAAGCGTCAGATCTTAGAGCTAGACGTAGCTAAGAATGAATTGGAGGCTAGAGTCTTTCTTAATGCTGCTCTTTCCATCGCAGATAAAGAAGATCATGAAAGCCAATGAAAAGGTTACAAGTGATGCTGACCCCATGTGGTACTTAAAGTAAGGAATCGGCTCCTCTTAATTGCTCTTTTGATTATGCCTAACATTTTAAAAATTGAATGTAGTTGTTATCCAAATTCTTTTTAATCTGTTTAGTAAGTTAACTATCAAGTGTTCAATTTTTAATTGGTAAGCTAATTATAACACATAGCATTATGATTAAGAAGTTACTAGAACTATTAGTTTAAAATTTTTTTAAAATAATTTTAGACTTAAAGAAAAATTACAAAAATAGTACAGTGTTCCTATTTTATCCTTCACCCAGCTTCTGCTAATCCTAACACTTTACATTACCATAGCATAATTAACAAAACCTGGAAATTAGCAATGATATAATACTGTCAACAAATCCACAGATCTTATTTAAAGTTTTCCCACTAATGTCCTTTTCCTGGCCCAGGATTCAATTCAGGACCCCACAGTGTGTTTCAGTGCCTCGTCTCCTCATTCTCCTCCAGTCTGTGACAGTTCCTTATGGTTTCTTGGTCTTTCATGGCCTCTACACTTCTCTGGTCAGTTGTTTTGTAGAAAAACAACTAAAAATGTTGTTTTTCTAGAAAATAACTAATTGAAGATCCTTTGATTTGGGTTTGTATGATGTTTATTTGTGATTCGATTGGCTTATGCATTTTTGGCCAGAATACCATAGCAGTTGCATTTTGTTCCATTCTTACTGTATCATTTCAGGGGATATGATGCAGTAAGATGTCACCGTGTTTTATTACTCGTGATTTTAACTCTGTTCGCTTGATTAAGGTGATGTCTCCTGGGTTTCTCCACTGTAACGTTACTAGTAGTTTTCCTTTTGTAATTAATAAGTTTCTTATTGGGAGATCTTCTGAGACTATGCAAATATTTTATTATTCATCATGTCTTAACCACTAATTTCAGATACGTTGGTGGTTTTTACCTATAACAGTTAATATTACCTATAACAGTTGTTATGCTCCCATCATTTCTTCCACAGTAGTTCCGGAGTTTACTGTAAGGGAGAGTACTTTCTTCCCCACCTTCATTGATCTATAATTTTATTTATATCAGTATAAACTCAGGGGTATTCACTTTACTCTATGGGTCATAATCCAGCACTATCATTATTTTATTTTTTAAAGATTTTATTTATTTCTTTTTAGAGAGAGGGGGAGGGAGGGAGAAAGAGAGGGAGAAAAACGTCAATTTGCAAGAGAAACATTGGTTGGGTGACTCACATGCCCCAACCAGGGACCTGGCCCACAACCCAGGCATGTGCCCCGGGTGGGAATCACCCTGCGACCTTTCGGTGTGCAGGATGAAGCCCAGCCCACTGAGCCACACCAGTCAGGGCAGTACTGTTATTACTTTATTGCTCAAATTGTCTCAGCTTCGGCCGTGAGCAAGTCTTCGGCTTGGCTCCTGTGTCCTTTCAACGCGCCCCTGTTAATTTTTGAGTACTGCCAGATGTGGTTCATCTGCTATTTCCCCTGTCCCAGCCTAGGATCAACCGTTTCTATAAGGAGCTGTTTCCTTTTACTGGAGAATAGTAATTAAAAACCTAGATATGGATATGAAAGCCTCAGCCAGCAGAGCCAGGAAATATATGCATGTATTTTACTGCACATGCACATGCATCTGTGTTTCTGTATCCCATCCATTTTTATGTAGATGAAATACCATGCGTACTGATGACCCCCATTCTAATCCTGCTCTATGAGGCACATTCTAACCTTTTCTCTTCTCTTTTCTTATTTGTAAGCTCTGTGCCTGACAGTGAGAAATCTGACTCTCACTATCCACACTATGTTTACTGACATTTTCAATCCTGGAATATACATGAAATTGTTTCAGAATTGTTAAACATGCTTCTGTGAGAGTAAAATGGACTAGTTAGATGACAGTATTTACATACTGCTTTTTTTCTCATATAGTGTCCAATCAAAATACTGTTTTCCAAAGTTATTTGGATTAGTTTTCCTTTCCACCTTTTCAGTGCAGTTATGTTACTCATTTGTAATGCGGTAAGTTTTGTATTCCATTTGGGTTGGCTCCCCCACCTGCCAACCTGGTTGATTTTGATTATGTATTTATTTTTAGAGTGTACGAAACATTGTCATGGTTGTAAAAGGCAGGCCTAACAGAAAAAGGCATATTCAGGCAACTGTCCCTCCTCTCCCGATTCTTTCCAGGCTGTTCCTAGGCATTTTCTGTAGGTAATCAATCTCATTAGTTTCTGCTTTCTCCTTCTCATATTTCTTTTGCACAAATGAGGTCTTTTCAGAAAAAGTCCAGCCATTGTCAATATAACAAGAGAGGTTTGCACAACAGCAATGTAACCTGGCAGCCAAGGAGAGTGGACTGGAATGCACATGTGTGAACAATGATGACTTCACTGTACTAGTCAGTGGGGGCGGTAGATGCTGTTGAGTGAGCATGTGTACTGTATGGCCATCGCATTCAAAACGACTGCGTGAGTAGAGCAACGAATTTGTATCAAATTTTGCATTAGCTTGAACATTCCTCCACAGAAACTGGTATTTGAAAGATTCAGAAGGCTTTCCGGGACCATGCAGTGAGTGATTGGTAGCTTCATCACCACAACATGCCCACTCAGTTTTTTGGTGAAACATCAAATCATTTAGGTGACTCAGCCCCCCACAGCCCAGGTTTGGTGCCCTACAACTTCTGGCTTTTCTCAAAACTGAAATCATGTTTGAAAGGGAAGAGATTTCAGACCATCAGTGAGATTCAGGGAAATATGAGAGGACAGCTGATGGTGATTCCAACAAAGGACTTTGCAGAGTGCTTTGAACAGTGGAACAGACTCTGGGAGAACTTTGTGAAGGCCCACGGTGTCTACTTTGAAGGGGCACGTGAAGCGTCATTGTCCTATGTACAAGGTTTCTTGCATCTTCAATAAATTCCTCTTTCATAGTACATGGCTGGATACTTTCTGGACAGACCTTGTATAGTTTTTTTCTCTTACATGAATATGCTGTAGATATTTATATACTATAGATACTCTTTTGCACTTTGCTTTTTTTTATTAAATATAATTTTTAGGGAGCTGCGTTTCTAGTAGTTTTGTAGAGAGATTTATGCTATTCTTTAAAAAGATAACTGGTAGTATTTCCCTCCTTTGTGAAGATATATGTACTATCACTTTAAGAAGTTCTGCAGTTATAATTTTTAATTTGTTTGTCATCCTCAGCAAGATAAGCATTTGTCAAAGCATAACCCTGTGTTTAGGGGGAAACTATCTTGTTTGTTCACACGTTCTCTGGAGAAGTACAGTTGGTGATGGAATGATTTGCTTCTCAGGTACCTGAATATTTACGTCGGCCTTCCCGATGTTGAAGAGAGCTTCAACGTGACTAGACCAGTGTCTCCTCACGAGGTAGCTTTTAATCTTACTTTGTAAGTGAGTGTGTTAATCTTACTTTGTAAGTGAGAGAGACCAGAGGGTCTGTGCCCTTAATGTGTACTCTTAAACGTGATTTAAAAACAGGTAAAGAAATCTCTTTGAGACATAACCCAAATCAACAAGCACTTGTATAATACTGTACTCTATTGGGAAACAATTCTGTACTAGTTTGTCATTTAATTTTATTAATGTGCACTGTTTATACCTGTGTCCTGTTTACGTTGTTGCTGAGCCTTTTAGTGGTGTGTCCCCATCTCCTCGCTGGCCACTTGTGTCTAGCGTGGTGCCATCTGTTGCAGAGGGTGTTGGTGCATTTTGGGGGGTTGGCAGGCACTGTGTTAGAGAGGAGACCGGGGACTAGAAGCTCACTGTCTCACGGAAGAGATGGATAAGAAGAAATCTCAATCCCAGAGTTTCAACAGAGATGCAGGCAGAGGGTTATAGAACAGGCCTATCTATTGGCCTCTAACAGATACTAGACTTCTCTTCAAATTCTCTCACTGAGTGTGCGGAATTGGGAATTGATTTGGCGAATAAAATGACTTTTGTAGATTTGTCTGATTTGTATTAACGTAGAGCTAAAATAGCAATTATGGAACATAGCACAGGAATCTTTTATGAAACAACAGTTCAGGTGTTAGATTGTATGGTTGTTGCCTAAGGAAGGTTAAACAGGAAGTATGAACAGGTAACCAGATAAACTTTGGTACTACATAATTGCCAAGTATTGATCCAGTGTTTATTTTGTGTCTCAAAATTGAGAGATATAAAAGGAATGAGACGCATATCCTTCCTCAAGGAGTCCATACTCTTGTGGGGAGACTGATGTAACAAAACACATGACACGGGGACCCCAGGGGCTGCACACTCAGAGTGTCGGGAAGGATCGTGTAGGGAAGGTCAGTATGTAAAGCTGTCCTGCGTAAGGAGTGGCGAGGACTGGGGGATGCGGGTGCCCCCGTTTGGCCCTCCCCACTCCCTGTTCCCTTCTGCTAGGACTTCCCAAGTTTTTGAGAACTAGGCAGCCAATTAGCAGTTTGCAAGTTATCTAAACTGTATCACTGAGTTTAGAGAAAAGGGAAGACAAAGTAGTTTGAAGTAGTTCAGGAAGGCTGAGGCTACAGTTGTCATTATAAGTGTATTCTTTCTGATGTTGAAAAACATAGGTATTAGTGCGGTGAGGGTGGGGGGTGCAAAGATTTCCTGGAGAGAGTTTGACTCTTGGAGAGCAGAGGGGTAGGCAGTCACGGGACCCACAGCAGGACTCCCAGGGTGCGGGGACCGCCGATCCCGCCAGCACAGCCTGCTGCCGTGATGAGAGAGAGGGGAGTGGAGGGGCCCCTTGGAGGTACTGGGGAGCTTACAGAGGGGTCCCAAGATTCATTCGGGTCCCCATCTGTCCAATTTCATTTCCATTTGAAGGGCTGAATTTGTTAAAACCCACAGATGCTTGCCTACCATGGACATTACGTTTGTCTTATTAATAAAAACGAGGTAATTGTATATAGTACTCTGACTCAGGTACCATTTAAAAATATATATCTATACTTCTGGGAGTTAAAATGATTCTTATCCCATTCACATAGGAGGAAATTGACATGAAGAAAGGGTAGGGAAACATGAGCGGCAGAACCAGGGTCTGCGCACAGGCGGTGGGGTCCGTACTCTGCACCCCCCCCCCACTTTGGTCTGGCCTGAGAGAGGAGGCTTGGTCTCATTAAACATAATATAAACAGTTTCTACTGGTCAACTATAGGCACATCTAATATTTTTACATCCCAGGCACTGTTTTAAAGGCCAGAAACAAGTTTAATTTGGTTTAGTAGAAGTCAGAGAGATGATTCAGCACCATAAATTGTAGGGTGGATGGATGATCAGAGAAATTCGTTTGGAGAGTACAAGCCACCAGATGACCATCGATTTAATGGGGACGTCATTGGGTGAGGCTGGCGAGGTTTCCTCTGTCTGATCACGGTTCAGGAAGGACTTTGTTTTGTGAGCTGCATCAAAGTAAAGATTATAGGAACAGTTATGACCATCACTTGTTAAGGAATTTTATCATATAGGTTTGTTTATTTGGAGAATAAAAGGAAGTATAGAAGTATAGTTTGAACTGTTTAGTTTGTGTGTGTGTGTACTTTAATTGTCATTATACTGGTTGACTGTTTTGAATAAGCCAGCCACAAAGATGTGGGAGCAGACTGGTGTGGCATCCGATCAGCAAGAAGAAAATGAGTACCAGACTTACTGTTCCGTTTCTGGGCTGGCAGGGGTGGGGATGCTGTGATGAGGTCTGGATCTATAGCTGCCATTATTCCCCTCGAGGGGAAAGTAGGCTTGTAAGTCCCAGTGCCCTAAGGTCGAGTATGTAACAGCTCAGGTTCCAAGGGCAGGTCCAAGTTCTACTAGAGAAAGAGCTCTTTGGGGCTGTCAGGACCCTTTCTTTTCCTGAGAGGAGCCGTGACTGTCTGCATCTATTTCAGTGCCGCCTGCGGGACATGACGTACTCTGCCCCCATCACAGTGGATATTGAGTACACCCGAGGCAGCCAGAGGATCATCCGCAATGCTTTACCCATTGGCAGGTGAGAGCTGATGTTGGCATTAGAGCCGCACCACCTGCGTTTCCGCCCTCTGAGGTGGCCTTGAGCAACTGAAGTTCTCTTTGCCCCATTTCCTCATGGGGAGAACGTGGGAAGTGGCGCCTAGTCCGTGGGCTGTTGTCTGGATCCCGGGTGTCAGTAGATACGAAGCACTTAGAAACTCTCGTAGTGCAGCCCTATGGGCGGTGACTGCCCTCTGACTCTGCTCTTCCCTGACTCACACTGTCCATCTCTTTTTCCTTTGAAAATACCTTTTCAGTAATTTCTGTAGATCTCTTTCCCATTCAGTAATTCTGTCCTCAGCAGGGTCAAATCTGTGATTTAGGCGGTTCATAGACATTTAAATTAATGCTTACATCTTTACATTTTCATTTCTCTTTCAAAACCACCGAGTTTTGATAGTCCGTTTCTCACACTTGGATTCTTGTGCTATTTCTATATACCTAATAAGAGTCACTTTGTTTACCATGAGTGAAGGGTTGCTGCCATTTCCGACTTTCACGAAAGCCTGTCTGCAAAGTTTTCTGTGACTGTCATTTCTCTGCCTTTTACTTGAAGACGAGTGTAGACCTCAGAAATGATATGGTGTGCAGTTCACATTCTTTGTACCTTTGTGCCAGTGACAAGCTTTACGTGATGTTTCCTTTTGTTTTCTTTTAAACAGAATGCCCATAATGCTTCGTAGTTCAAACTGTGTTCTTACAGGGAAAACACCTGCAGAATTTGCCAAACTGAATGAATGTCCTTTGGATCCAGGTATGTGTGACTCCTTGGATTAGCACCCCGCCTTGTTTTTGTTTTTCTGTTGCTGTTTTTTAGCATTTTTCCTTAAAACAATACCAGACTTTCTGCTTTATAATGAACTTTGATAAAACTTTGTTCATGAAACATCCAGAAACATGGTTCCATCTTTATTCTTTTTGTCCATATTTCTAAGAGATACACTGTTTCCTCTTCTCTTTCAAGCTGTAAACTTTATTTCCAGAAGTTGTGATTGACTGCTATGGTTTGTTGATCTTTTCTTTGTCTCTTTGCTCAATGGTAATGCTCTTTCGGTGTACTTAAAAATTCAAAACTAATCTTACAAAGTTACTTGTGTAGTCTGAAAAAACTCAAACATCTCATTTCAGGCTTTTTTAAACACTGTAACAAGGCAAAAAATAAGTCTTCTGTTTAAATTTTTTAAATGATTTTTTACCTGTTTTTAGTTTATTTTATAAAGTTTCAAGCTTAGCACTTAACAGAAAGTTTCTTTTAATTCCTTCACTCACCTTTCACATTGGCTTCATTTATAGTTGCTCTAACCTACTTTCTTCAAAGTTGAGTTGGTGTAGAGGCCCCGGAGGTTTGGGGAGAGGTTAGCAGGGAGCGTGACTTTTAGACCACAGCAAAACGGTGCGTAAGTCACACAGCAAAATGATGCATAAGTCAAGTATGTTGCCCTGGTTTAGCTTACATTCTGCAGGTAAAATGAAGTCTCACTCTATCCCCTTCTGAATTTTGTGCCAAAATATATATGATAAATGTTTTGTGAGTTTTATTAAGTATAGAATATCACAGAAACCTAGACTGCCATTATCACTGATTTGTTACAAAACATAGAGCAAATTTCAGTTTATAGTAAAGATTATCTGTTATTTTTCTGCTTAAAAATTCTGAAGACTAATTTATTTAACACTATTTTCATTCACCTCTCATATATGTCAGGTGCTGGTATGCATAGACTTCTAAGGTACATTTCCTGTCAAGAAGTTTAAATAAACTGCTCTTGCTCTCCTCTTACATAAAATCACGTGGTGGCACCATCGTTAATTCATAAAACAGTGTCAGTAAACCTCTTTGCGTTAAGTGGCGGTCAGTGCTGTGCAGCAATGGAAGAGTGATTTCCATCAGGAGATGACTAAACCGCTCTGTGTGAAGAGCAGGTGGTGAAGCTCTGCTCGTTTCCTTCGGACAGGCGGCTACTTCATTGTTAAAGGAGTGGAAAAAGTTATTCTCATCCAAGAGCAGCTGTCGAAGAACAGGATCATCGTGGAGGCCGACCGAAAGGGGGCAGTCGGTGCTTCAGTTACCAGGTATGGAGGGCAGAGGTGGCGTTCTTAAGAAATGTTGGCGATTCCATTAGCAGCGGATAGGCTGTCTTTTGATATGGAGGTACCCAGTTATTTTTCTCTGATAACAGCAGTGAAATATTTAAACTGTCTGTATTCAGTTTATTGTGAAAGACTGTAAGCATAGAGTATTGATTGATCCCACTTCTGGGCATATCTCCAAAGAAACCTGAAATACCCATTTGAAAGAATATACACACCTCTAGGTTCACAGCAGCATTATTTACAATAGCCAAGGTTTGGAAACAGTCAAGGTGTTGGTAAGTAGGAGAGTGGATAAAAAAAAAACCCTATGGTACATTCACTCAATGGAATACTACTCAGCTGTAAAAAAAAAAAGGACCTCTTACCTTTTACAACAGCATGAATGGACCTGGAGACTATTATGCTAATTGAAATAAGGTAGTTGGTGAAAGACAAATACTGTATGACCTCACTTATATGTGGAATCTAATGAACAAAATAAACAGAGGAACAAAATAGAAGCAGAGGCATGAATGCATGAGACAGCTGTCAGGGGAGGGGAGAGGGAAGGTTGAAAGAAGATGAAGGGATTAACCAAAGAACGCATGTGCATGGCCCATGGACACAGACGACAGTGTGGTGATGGCCAGAGGGAGGGAGGGGCAGGGGTGGGGAGGGAGGGAGGCAGAGATGGGGGAAAAAGGGACATCTGTAATAGTGTCAACAATAAAAATAAAGTTTAAAAAAAAGTCATTTAAAATTTTTTGTAATGAATGTGTGAGACATTGTTTGAAAGGCCATTAGTTATTTTAAGTTGAATTTTATGTTAATTTATAGTACTAAAGAAACATAGAAAAATGTAAAAGCACTTAAGTTTTTCATGTTTCTTTTCAGTCTTTGATGATTTTACATGTGTATTCTGACTTGTCATTACTGAATAAGTATATTTAATGAATTATTTCATGGACTATTGTATTGTTTTTTGTAATAGCCACTTTCACAGCTCATTTTCCAATAACAGCATCCCCTACGTTACTCTTCTAATTTCTTTTCTCTGGTTTATTATCATATGTAATTTGAAATGTGGAGGCTAATGAGTCCTAGAAAAGAAAACTGTGACATAGTTAAGATGTCAGTATGTAATAGAATTTTTCTTCTAACAACCTGTGATGAACTGCATAATTCAGAGTTTCTGCATTTTTCTTTCAGATAGAAAGGAAACTAACAATAAATAGCCATTTACCGAGTAGTTACTGGAAGTCACCAGTATACTAGGTGCTTACATATATTTTTTGCCAGCTCAGTCCTCTGAGAGAAGTGGTATTATCTGTGTTTTACAGCTGAGTAACAGGCCTTGAGAGCAGGGTCACATCAGTCATCAGGGCTAGCCAGCATTTGACCTTCGATCTAATCATTCTACAGCCCAGGTCTTCCCACTATATGCAGTTTTCGAGACCATGGCAATCAGCATTTGAATTCTCAAGGTTTTGTTTACTAGATATGAGGTACTTGGGTGAGCAGTCACTTAGCTTCTATAAGCCTTGGTTTCCTCACATGTGATTAGGAGGCAACACTTTAAAGTCTAAGTGTAAATATGTAGGAGAGTAGAGCCAATATAAGTAGATTGGGTACCAGTACCTAATACGAGGTCTGTCCAGAAAAAGTCCAGCCATTGTTATTATAAAGAGAATGGTTTGCACTACATCTATGAAACCTGGCAGCCAAGAAGAGCGGACTGGAGTGTACATGCGTGAACAATGACGACTTCACTGTACTAGTCAGCAGGGCAGTAGATGTGTTGAGTGAGCATGTGCACTGTGTGACCATCGCATTTAAAATGACTGAGTGAGTAGAGCAGCAAATCTGCATCAGATGTTGTGTTAAGCTTGAACATTCCTCCATGGAAACTGATCAGATAATCAGAAGGCTGCAGCTGTGGGCAACCAGTGGTTGGCAGCTTCATCACGACAACATGCCTGCTTGTGCATCGCGTCTCATGCAGAGTTTATGGTGAAGTATCAAATCACCCAGGTGACTCAGCCCCCCTACAGCCCAGATTTGGTGCCCTGAGACTTCTTGCTTTTCCCAAAACTAAAATCACGTTTGAAAGGGAAGAGATTTCAGACTGTCAGTGAGATTCAAGAAAATATGACAGGGCAGCTAATGGTGATTGGGAGACTGTGTGAGGTCCCAAGGTGCCTGCTTTGAAGGGGACTGAGGTGTCATTGTCTTATATATAGTGTTTCTTATAACTTGTATCTTCTTCAATAAATCTCTATTTTTTCATATTACATGGCTGGATACCTTCTGGATAGACCTCATATGTAGGGAGTGATCAGTATGTGTTACTATTATCATTGAATAAAGCTTTGAAATGTTTTTAAATCTGCTAGGAATTTTATAGTGAATAGAGATATCAATAGAAGGAGAGGCTTTAGGGTTTTTGTTGTTTTTGTTGGTTACACTGTATAGTAAGACTCTAGGTATATTTTATTGGATTATTAGTATACAAATTCATTTCTTCATAGTTTTATCATTGTGGTACAGGCTCATTTTGAGGTTTTTTTCTTTGAATGTATAAAATTGTTTATGAATATATGCCCCACACAATTCAAGGAGTTCAGGAGCAATCAAAGTGAAGTAGGTAAAAAAAAAAAATTTGTCATTGTCACTCATTCACACACAAAACTTCCACCATAATCTCAAAGCCAAAGAAACATTTACAGTGTTTTAAAATGGAAGTGACAGGGACGGGAGAGGAGTTGTGCATCTTTAAAAAGCACCTATTAGATAGGACCTTTCTGATCATAATTGATCATTTGAATCATTTGATTGACAGACTTTGCAATTGCATGTGACTGGGTTGAAACTAAGCGGGGATGCTTAACCAATTTGTATTTCCTTGTAGCTCTACCCATGAGAAGAAGAGCAGAACCAATATGGCCGTGAAACAAGGACGATTTTATTTAAGGCATAACACTTTGTCAGAGGATATTCCTATTGTAATTATATTTAAGGTAAGGTTGCAGGTAGCCACTGAAAATTATAAAGAGTTTTCTCTTTAATTTTTGTTTTTTTCTGTAACAGTTGACATCCAGTGTTCTGTTGACTTCACCATCGCGGTTAGCGTTTGTGTAACGCATAGAGTGGTCCCCTGATGAGACTAGTGGTACCCATCTGGCAGCATGCATGATTATTACAGTATCACTGACAACATTCCTTACGCTGGGCTTTACATCCCCGTGGCTGTTTCATGAACATCAACTTGTCCTTCTAAATCCCTTCACCTTTTTCACACAGCCCCTCAACAACCCTCCCAGCTGACACCTGTCAGTCGATTCTTTGTGAGTTTGTTTCTGTTTTGTTTCTCTGGTTTACTTTCATATGTAATTAGAAATTTGGAGGATAAGGAGATCTAAGAATAGAAAGATTTGTGATATGGGTAAGTTGTCAGTCTTGTAATATATTTTAAGTTGAAAGCTAGTAAGAATAAGGTTTAGATGTTTTCAAAAACAGGAATCTATTTTTAATTGATATATTATTTTTTGAAAATCCAAAGGTACCCAAGGGTTTTTTAGTATGTGTAAGCCTCCCATCCACTGTACCTAACCACAGAGTTCTGCCCAAAGATGGTGCACGCGCCTGTGCAAGTGCGAGCACATGAGTGTAGACTACGTTTTTGTCGTTTTGTTTCTTAGTTACGTAAATTGCACATTGTTTTGCTCTTAGCATTTTTTTGTAGCTTACATCTTGGAGGGAGTGTTACAATACTCCATACAGACCTGTGTTCTTTCTGACAAACTTCCATTATGTAATCACTCCCTCATCAGCGGACATACATCTCTCTTGCTATTGTGAAACTGCTGTAATATCATGTCACACACAGGCAAGGATGTCTGTAGGCTGAATTTCTAATAGTGGGATTTTCAAAAGGGCAAAGATTATGGATCAAGTTCATTGTTCTTTTTTATGGACTTCTGGATTCTGATGAGTTTCTGCATAAACATGCCTCTCCACTCTACAACTGATTTTTTTTTTCAGCTTGTTTGTGAATTATTGGCTTAGAACCCAAAAGACATTCTCTCAGAATTAACAGAAGTGCAGAATTAATTTCTAAATGGTATCTTCTCAGATAATTGTGTAGTGGCTGACTTAATCTGCCCTGAGACTTAAATATTATGCAGATTCTATGAACAGTTAAATTAGAGTATTAGTCATTAAGCAAAACAGAAAAATAGTTGACTGTATGTCATGTAGTTGGTCCTCGACCTTCACAGATTCTATCTTTGCCAACTCTCCTAATTTCTAAAATTGCTTTGCAACTGCAAGTCAGTATTTGGGGTGCTTTTACAGTTATTCATGGACACGCGCAGGCCCAGAACCGGGAAAAATTTAAGTTCCAAAGCAGGCACGTTCCCGGCTGAGGTCAAACAAACAAGGCTGCCTTCTCATTTCAGCTCTTATACTGTTAAAAACTGTCCTTTTGGCTGTCTATTTAGTGCCATGTTTTTCACACTTTTGTACCTTTTGTTGGTGGTTTTGCTCTTTAAAATGACCCCTAAATAGAGTGCTGAAGTGCTGTCTAGAGTTCCTAAGTGCAAGAAGGCCGTGGTGTGCCTTGTGGAGGGAATATGGGTTCGACAAGCTTCGTGCAGGTATGAGTTAGAGTGCTGTTGACTGTGACTTCAGTGTAAATGAATCACGTGTGTGTTAGATAAGGTATCTTTGAATACAAACATATGTAAAACAAGGTTCTGCATTAATCATTTGAAGAAAATATAATCAGGCTCACAGAACATAGCAGTATCTCCCCTGAAACAATGCTTCAGTATTCATTAATTCAGTGTTTTTGGCAACTTTGTAGAAAACAGTTACTATGGATAATGATGATCAACTGTATATGGGTATTAAATGAATCTCGATGACTGGTCAATTGAGATAAAGAGCTCAGACGGCCTGAGGAAATACTGAAGGGATACTGAGTACTTCAGATAATTTTAGAGGTTGATAATGCTCTTTTCCCATTATTTAGTTTCACTTCAGAGTTAGATATTTCTGTTCAACAGTTGTTCATGGTAGTGGAAATACCCTGTGGGTCGTAGTGAGAGAAAGCAGAGAAAGAGATCCTCTGAGGTGGAATTAACTAAGTTGGTTAAAAAGGGCAAACGTTTGGCTGTGAGCCTTGAGTAAGGAAGGAGTCGAGCTGCCCCGTTAAAGCTGTAACCAGGTGGCAGAGCGTAGGGGTCAGGGCGGCAGATGGGCCTCCTCATGTAAGGGTGGTGTTGGGGCCTAGGAGTTGTCTGTGAAGGAGAGAGAGAGAGAGAGAGAGAGAGAGACAGTGAAAGAGACACAGAGAGAGAGAGAAACATAGATGGGAGAGAGCAGCATCAATCAACTACCCCCCATACAAGCCCCGACTGGGGATCGAACCTGCAACCCCTGGTGTACAGGACAATGTTCCAACCAACCAGGCCATCCAGTCAGGGCTGTAGACATTTTTTTATATGTAGTAGAGCTCATTGTGCTTTAGAATTCTTTATCTTTACTTTTTAAATTAATTTATTTGTTTTTAGAGAGAGGGGAAGGGAGGGAGAAAGAGGGAGAGAAACACTGATGTGAGAAACATCTATCAGTTGCCTCTTGAACACAACCCAGGCAATGCACTGCGGCCAGGAATCGAACTGGCAACCATTTGTTGTATGGGACGAAGCCCAACCAACTGAGTCATAGCAGCCAGGGTGTTTTGAGCTCTGCAAATGAGATTGTACCATTGTTTTCTTTAGGATGGTGATGATGACGATGATGTAGCAGTAGTAGTAGTAGTAGTAGTAGTAGTATCAGGGGGCCAAGGAAAATTCATCAATATACTTTATTACCTTTCTTCGAGTTTTATATATATTGTAAGCACAGAAGTAATTTTGGCTTTTCTTGTTGGGATCCCACAGTACCCAGTGCTGTGCCTCGTGTACATAACGGTGTTCAGTAACAGACCTTTTATTTACGTAAAATTACATCTCCAGCAGAGGGCAGTATACTCCCATGCATGAAAGGAATTTTTTGAAAGTTTTTGGTGCTTAAAAAGGTGCACAGGACTATCTAACTTCCACTAGAAATTATAAATTAATTATGCATGTAATATTATATCACTCACATGGGAAATGTATCACTTAGACACATGCATGACAATCAAAAAATCATTATTAATTACTTTTTTTAGCTAGATGACAGATGCTTAATAAGATAGTGTCTTGTCAAACTTAATATTTTTGTCATAAATGTATACATATATAGCTGACAAATCTTTTTTTTATCATAGGCTATTAATTAACAATGTACATTTTTATGAGATTTCAAACTTCTTCCTTTCTGATTACAAAACAGTCCTTGCATTGTAAAAATTTAGAAAGCCACCAAAAAATATAACTTGATTTGTGGGTACAGTTTTCTGACCTTTTTTCCTTTGCTTTTGTGGCATATACATCAATTTTATTCTCATCACTTAACAGTGAATTGTAAATAGTTTCCCATGTCTGCAAATATGAATGTGCACGTCAGTTTCAGCAGGTGTTGTGAAGAGATTGCACATGTGTGATGTATTTGACCCGTCTCCTGTGGCGTGACATTGGGCGTTATTCTTCCCCCAGGTTTCACTCCTGTGCACAACCCTGGATGGCCTTACACATGCATGTCTGTGCGTGTTGCTGATTATTTTGTGAGACTTAAATCCTAGGAGTAGTATTACATCCTTTAGAATAAATTTGGTACATGCTGCCACATTTTTCTTGTGATATGTATCTAAGTCTGTATATAATGTATATTATACATAGCGTATTGTGCATATATAAGAATTAAATATTTTTACATTTCAGTTCAAACTTTCTAGTTTAAATATTCAGTTCAAGCGTCTGTCACTTTTTTGGTTTCTTACTGTAGGAATATTTTAATAATCTGGTGGAAACATGTCTGATAATCACTGTTCCACAGGTGCCCAACTTGCAGCTTGTGGGCCACATGTGGCTTGGGATGGCTATGAATGTGGCCCAACACAAAGTCGTAAATGTACTTAAAAATTATGAGATTTTTTTGTGATCACATGTCACAATGTATTTACTGTGTGACCCAACACAGCTCTTCTTCCAGTGTGGCCCAGGGACGCCAAAAGGTGGGACACCCCTGACCCATCAGGAGGTACATAGGGTGCTGGATTGCTTATGATCAGACAGATCTAGGTTGAATTCCAGCTTCTTCACTTACAAGCTGTGTGACCTTGGGCAGGTTCCTCAATCTCTCTGAGTCTTGGGTAATTCACTTCTCCAGTGAGAATTTCATCGGAGAGGACAGTGGTGAAGAGCAAATGAGATCGTGTAGTTTCTGAAAACCAAGACTGCCTGGAAAGATGCTCTTTCTCTGTCCTTAGTTCTCCTCGCATATTTCATGTCGGAAGCCCAGGAAAATAAACTGGGATCCCAGAAAAGTCAGATCATTTCTCTTTTTCTGTTGTGTGGCCTTAACAGAGGCTTTGACAGTCATTAGGACTTGATGGTTGTTGATTGTAACTGACAGTTGGCTGAAAGGGACAGAAACAGCAGGGTTTTCAGAGTCCATGCTGAGTCTGAATATGATGGAGAAAGCTTTTAAGTCCTAGATCAGCCTTATTTACGGACTTGAATCACTACAAAGGTTCTTCTGCCCACGAATCTTCTCTGCTTTGCATTCTGCATTCACACGTGTTTAGTGGTTGTGCTGTGATGGCATCTGCAGTCTGAAAGTTTTTGCAGAAAAGAGGATCAAGTTTCAGGGGGATGCTCCACATTGTTTCCTGGGAGCCAACATATTGAAATTTTTGGTCTTTAAAGAAAAAGAATTGCTCTGGCTGGGTACCTCATTTGGTTAAAGTGTCTTCCCGATAATGCCAAGGCTATGGGTTAGATCCCCAGTCAGGACACCTGCAAGAATCAACCAATGAATGCATAAATAAGTGGAACAGCAAATTAATCTCTCTCTCTCTCTCTGTTCT